CACTCCATTATCATTCTAATAGTCAATAAGTTACGCTGCTCCATAGAAACCGGATAGGGGCATTGCTGGAAGTTACACCAAAATCGTTTGAAATCCAGACACTGTTGAAAATAAACACTAACTCCCGAAGTGCGACAATTATTTCGGGATGGAGGGAGTACTAGATATACTTCCTGATCGAAGCATCTAGATCGTATGAAGCTATTCACGTTTGTATCTTCCTCCAAAATACGTGCTTCGGTGCTCTTTTGAGTGCTCTTCCTCCAGGCCCCATATACAGTAGGGGTGGGAGCGGATCGGGTACCCGCTCCATTCACCATTTGACTGACCCAACCCGCACCTTACGGATCAGCCATTTTCTGACCCTTATCCGCTCCGCATATCAGCGAGTACCCTATAATGGGTACCCGCTGAGATAGGGTCGGATCAACGGGTACCCGCTCCGTCCCGTTTATCATTTAATTTTTTTTAAAAAAATGATTTATACCCATTTAATTTTATATTTTACATATTCATCTAAGATTTAATAATTTTTTTTTCTACAAAAAGATTCCCACCAAGAAACAAGCATATGAAGAGAATATAAGATAAAGGATAAAAATTAAAAGAATTCAAAATCAATAAAAGTTTAAAATAAGTAGCACAATTTTTAATATATATGTTCCACATTAATTAAACTTTTTTCTATAAAATATAAGATCATGGCCTTTACAAATGAATCTTGTAAATAAACTATAGTCTCTCATATTTGTAATGTAATTTGTTCAATAAAATTACTTATTTAGTTCTAACTTATTATTTTATAGTGTGTGTATAAAAATAAAAATAAAAATAATATATATATATGCGGGGCGGATCGGGTACCCGCGGGTTTTTAATTATGTGACCCTAACCCGCCCCGCATCTAAGCGGATACCCGACCCTCTTTTGATCCGATCAAATAATAAAAATCGGATATCCTGATTTTCGGATCAGATCTAATTGGATATGACGGGTTTTCGGGTTAACGGATAATTTTGCCCACCCCTAATACACAGTGCAGTTGGGCTCCCCATCCCCTGTCGTGGAGAATTCAGATATAATATTGATGATTAGCCAAAACAAGAAAAAAAGAAAAGAAAAGAAAAGAAAAAATGCTTCTTGTAAGTGTATAGAAAGGGTTTGGACTTTATTGCCTCGTAAATTCGAGCCAGTCCTCCAAATACGGGAATGAATGACTCAGAGACAGAGACGGACAGACAGATTAGCTATTTTCCAAATAGTTGTTCCTTTATTTGAGCATGCAACCAAGTACTGAGTATCCAAGGGTGGTGCCGTAGCCATAGCACCCCGGTCTAGACAGGTTTACATACCTGTCAATCCTTGACACATAAGTCTCTTTAGGCTCTTTCTGTCTGTAAATTAGGATAGAATAAATTATATAATTGCTATCATTATCCAAAAAGTAAAAAAAATCAAGTACTACAACGATATTTGGCCAGTGCATATTTTATAAGATGAAAGGTGAAAAATTCAAATTTATCTTCAATTAAAGTTGTCATTTAATATGATTTCTCTTGAATAGCACCTGCATGACAATTGACAAAAAAACATTGTTTGAGTACAGTGCAGGTGTCACTGGCCATTTGGTCCGGTGGTCATCACCATTAAAGGTGATGCTGGAGGTCAGGGGTTCAATTCCTGCCTCTCACAAATTTGTCACAATTTGTGGCGGTCTTAATTGACCTTCATCGATGGAGTCTGTAGGTGGATCCTGATCAGTGTGAGCAGTGTTTTTATTTCTCATGAGAATCGAGCCTTTCTAAGATATGCAACGAGGGATAATTTTTTTTCCTTGAAAAATGTAATGATAAACTTTGACCATTGTGAGTACGATTAAAAGGCGTGCAAGTAAAATATTTCAAATTTGAACTCTTATATTTGTAATGTTTTAAAAAAATTGAGTGTGTGGCAACACTGGAGTGAGGCCCTGCACGATCTTTTCAACTCAATCACTGTGATTCAATTTTGCATCCAACCCTAAACACTGAGCAAAAGTTTCTTTGGTTTGTCCAGATGTTAAAATTTTCAACAGATTTTTCTGCTACAGTTACAGCCTAGTTTTTCTTTTCTCCAAATTTTCAACCATCAATCTACCAAAATTATCAGTGTCCGCCTTGCTGTCAGTTAATGCCAACTACCAAAATTATGGCTCTCCTTATTTTTGTTCTCTTTAAAGTTTAAACCTTTTGTCCCTTTTGCTACAAACACAAACAGGCCTAGTTTTAAGACCTAGGCGTGGTTGAAGTAATCAGCAATTAAAATAATTTTTGTAAACCCATTGACAATTATGATGTTTGGATATGGAGGAAGTACAAAGCAAATTTGGGGTCTTCTTGGAAATTAATATTTGACACATATTTTCTTCTACCTTTTTGTTTTGACTTCCTCTAAATTTATTTTCAATTTTCAAATTTTACCCCTCAATTAAGTCTAACAATATATCAGTTTTAAGTTTCTCTAGAAAATCTAAGACTGCTTAAAACAAGTAAACTTCATGGACACTTGATTCGAGTTGATTATTTTATTGATTTGATACTTTAATTATTAAGCAAACATTTTCCAATTTGGTTGGTTCAATATGTTTAATATTTACCTAATTTATTCAATTTGATGTAAATGAAACACTACTATTGTTATTTATTGAATAAATATACTCTTAGCACATTTGTCACCATATTAACCTAGTTGTATGATAATACATTTATACCAAATGTCATTAAGAATAACATGCTCACATATATCTAAAAGAAGACTTTTTATTTGCATGTAAGGAGGTATTCGTTCTAATTGTTTCTGTACCCTTGCATAATATATAAACTTTCACTTGTACACTGTCAGTGTAGGAAAGATTAATCCATAAATTATTGCACCCCTGTAAAAAGAAGTCGAATATAAGGAAAGAAAAGGACAACACAAGATCCTTATCATTAAGAATAGAGATGCACATTAAACCATTAATATCTACAATAGCACTTAATTAGTCCAGTTCGGATATTTATACATCATTTGACTGTGAGCAGCATAAGATGAACGATTCTGTTATGTGAAATCTATTAATGGCCACATCTTTAATTTTGTGGTACTAAGATTACACGAATTTTTACTTACTTCGGTGACATATATTTTTCTTATTTCTATCACACTATGCAAACGGTCCACAATTGTAGTACACATTATGAAAACTATTCTTGTCCATAAAACTAAAATGCTCTCAGATAAATTGTAAACAGAGGAATCGAGTTTAAGGAATATCATATTTGATTTTGCAGTGCATTTTCGTTTCAAAATTCACATGGCTCAATCGGCAAAAAATGTAAGGAACAAGTATATATTTCATGCCAGTTTCTATGGGTCCTGCTGACTCCAAAACCTCAAAAAAAGAAGAAAGCTGCACAAACATAAACATGGTGGGTCGCATTTGCATTTTTTGATTTTTTTCAGCCTTTGTGTTTCCCATTTGGTTTCGTAGTTTTTGTTGTGCATTTTTTTGCACCAACTGCTTGAATCGGTATCCGGTGGCAGAGCCCACATATCAATCTTATTAACATATATAGCTAAATGTGTGAATGCCATTCCCTCAAATTGAACTCAATTGCTGATGTGGCGCTCTCCCATTGGTCAATTGGTGGTAGTCCTCCAATTGATTCCAATTTGATGAGTTGTCGTCCTCTGATTCGTCGATTGGTGGTAGTCCTCCCAATTGCACATGAAAATGGTGATGTGGCGAGTTTTGATTGGATGGGAGGTGGTAGTTTTCTAATTGCATGCAGGATTGTGCTAAAATTTAGCGTTTTTTTCCCTTTCCCAACAATAAATTGTGTTAACAAAAAATTGGTATCCCAATTATTCACAATTATCAACGTTTTTTTTGGTTGCCAAATAAATCATTATTATTAATTATTATTTTTTATTTATTGTAATAATTGCTTATGTTATGCTCTAATTGTATTAATTATTATTATGTTATCTTTTTTTGTAATTGCCTTTGTTATGCTCCAATCGTGAAAAATTTACTCTTTATTTGATTTTTTTCCAACGAGAACCTAGCTAATCTCATTGAAAAAAATTGGTGCTCTTTATTTATTTATTTTTTTGGAATGAGAGGGGAAGACATTCAACTATTATTATCAAATTTCCACGATAATCTTTATTTAGTATTAATTCTACGTAAACAATCAACAATGTGGTGCCCTTCCATTAGTGTCATTTATTATTTGGTCACGCCACACACAGTGTTTAATTATAGATTCCCCACTATTATTTGTTATAATTATTTATTTATTTACTTTTTATTTGGGTTCCATTTTTCGGTTACCCAATAAATCACATTTAATTACCAAAATTTTACAATTCATTGTTAATAACTAATCAATAGTGTTATTTTTTTACCTAACAAATCACATTTAATTAATAACATTTTTGCAATTATTAACAAAAATTTTGGCTTCTTTTTTGTGTTTGCCCCAAAAAACACATTTAATTACAATTTTTTTTCAAATTTTATAAAAAATGTCCTCTTTATTTTGGGTTGCCCAACAAATCAAGTTTAATTATCAATTTTTTGAAATTAATTTTTAATTAATTAAGTAATAATTTCGCAATTTTATTGCCTGCCAAATCACATTTAATTATCAGCCTTTTATAATTATTAATATTGTTTTGGTTACCCAACAAATCACATTTAATTATCAATTATGTGTAGTTATTAGCCAAAATTTAGCCTTTTTTTTTGTTGCCAATCAAATCACATTTGGTTGTCCTTTTTAACAATTAATTGATAATTAATTAATTAATATTGTTACTTTTTTGTTGCCTAACAAATCACAATTAATTACCAATTTGTTGCAATTAATTGTTAGTTAATTAATCTACCTTGCTCCACCTTGACAAAAACGCTTCCCATTAGTCTCATTGTCCCATTTTTTTTCACTTTTCTGAATAAACATGTGGTGGGTAGACTTCCTCTCTCTGTAACAGCTTTTTCTGGTGGGATTTGACAGGGGTTTGGGCTCGATGCATCAAAAGTCTCATCTTTCCCTCTTTGTTCATCGACCGTCACTCTCTAAACCTCTTAGAACAACTCTCTCTCTTCTTCTTCATCTTCCAGCCTCTCTCTGAGAACAACAACGAGCAAGATGGTTTTCTTCATCTTCCAGCCTCTCTCATCTTCTTAGAGAGGCTCTTTGTTTTAAAGTTCTTCCCTCCCTGCCAAAACTTATTTAGCCCTTTATTTTTTTTAAATTTTTTATTTGTCTAATATACATAAATTTCTGATCTTGCAGGTGAAATATTACAAATTTCCTCCAACACTTTTATCAGATTTTGTAAGTTTTTGTTGATCCCTTATTAAAAACAGGTTCTATATGGTTAAATGTGCTTTGCTGCATCCTTCCTTTTCTATTACTGACTTATTCTTGTTTTTCTTGCCATATGCATATCTCGATTTTTCCCATGGCTATGAAGCATCAAAACACATGTAAGAAATTTGAGAAATTTTTTCCCTAATGCCTTCTGATGTTATGGGTCGAAATAATAGAAATATGTCTGCAGTTTGTCTTGCCTATGCCTTATTCACATATCTTGCTCCAAGAAGATTGTCGACCTGCTTCATTGCTATTCTATAAATGGTTATATGTAGGTAAATCGCTACTCTATTTAAGATTTTTGGAGAGGTCTTCTATTTAAGATTTTTTCCCATGAGTGCGAATGTGTGATCTTTGTCATAGTGCAGGGTTTTTACCCATAATATTTTGATTGGTTTATTTGTTTAGACAAAAGAAAAAGTGTGAGGTTGAATATTATATAGGTGCAATCTTCTGATGAGTTTTTCCCTTCAACCTTCTGTTTTATCAAAATACCAGATTTTGAACAAATGTCATGAATCAGAAATGCCTATGCTCAATTATAGACAGCTATGTGAAAGTCGGCTCTAATAATTTGAAATTCACTCCTTTAATTCATTAGTGAACAGTTTGATAATAGTAGCTTTCCTACCTTTTATCATGCAACTTATTTTAGACGGGTTTTCCTTCTGGGTTTATATTGTGTATGGCATTTTTAGCAATTAAAGGATTATTATATGACTAATTAATATGTTAACAGGTTAGACAAAATAAGTTAGAGCGAGACTAATTGGCAGTGGAGTGAGAGGAGTCTTAACATGGGAAAGAACAAGTATAGAAGACATGTTAAAGATTTGTCAATTGACAGAGCAACTCTGTATGAACTTCAACTAAATGCTGCCTAAGGTATATGTAATTTGGTAATAAAACACTGCATTCTGCTAAATTATTTTGGTGGTTCTTGATTCTCATTTTGCAGAATTTAACTAGTGAACTCTACCACAAATCCTTGGAAGATGCTGCTAAGGTATAATTGCTCATTATCTTTCATTTGCTAATCACCAGATAACATTTTGTTCCATGTGTGTTTCTTGTATTAGGAACAAAAAGAGGTTTACTTGAAATATCACACCTAGATAATCAGTTATTACAAAAATGCCTGGTCTGTGTGTCTATCTGTTTTTTGCATATGATGTTTTGACTTGGACAAAAGATTGAAATGTTAGTCCAGATTATTATAGAACAATGGTGAAGTATATGTATGTGTGTGTATAAAAGACTATTACATGTGGTGAGTTTATTCCTAGAATGTATTTAGAGACCGTTAACAGGTATAAGATTAGGAAATTATGGCTGCATATTTGCTCAATCCAGCAGTTTTGCTAGAGAAGTTTTGCTCAGTTATACTTGGCTTAGTGTCTTTAAATCTCGACATATTACTGTTGCTTGGGAAAATATTTTTGCTTTAGGAATCAGGGTTTTTTTATTGCCTTGAAGACTGCAGGGTGTAAAAAACATTTACTCATGTTGATATATTCACCAAGATTTATTATGGCTATAGCACAACGTATGGTAGCACAGGCGTGATGTGGACATGATTTGCTTCAAACAAGCAAATTTTGTTTGGGAAAAAATCATATGATTTGCTTTAGTATTTGTATGTAACATGTATTTGCATTATATATGTTGACTTTTTTTTTGAGATTTTAATATTTTAGGTTCCAATCTTGGTCCTTTATGTTTTGCATTGCTGGTTAAGCAGAACCACCCAAAAGAAAGAAGAGGTTTAGCTGGTTGAAATTCATCATATGTGGAATTTGATAGTTTTCTTTGATGAAAAAATCTGGATTTGTTTTTTCTTTACCTTTTTCCGGTTTTTTTAGTTGGATTTTTCTTTAATTTTGGTTTCTTAATCAATTTGGATGTGAAACTTTGGAAATGCATTCAGATGTTTAGTGCTTAATGCCTATTTATGGTTTGGCAAACACAAGTTCTTTGCTTCCTGCTAATCCTCAGGCTTTGTTGCTATTGTTTTGTTTCGTATTGTAGTTTCACAGACCCTATGCTAGATTTGGTGGTCTAACATATTAATTATAATTATATTTTATGCTCTAATATGTTCCAAATGTTTATTACAAGATATTAAGATATGAAACAAAGGATTGGAGAAATTCTTTTCTCAAAGTGCACATTATTTAGACTCTCTGTTTTTTCCCCTGGAAAAAAGTTAATCTAATTTGATTTTGTCTTTTCTTTTTCCTAATTAATTTGATTTTGTCTTTTCTTTTTCCTAATTAATTTGATTTTTTCTGCATTTGTTTGTTCTATATTATTTCTAGATAAAGGAACAAGGAAAAAGGAGGCTACTTTTCTCCATTCAACCATGAAGGTGTGTTTTAATGTTTTTGTGTTCTCTTCATTCCCCCCCTCTTCCTCCTTAGTAGTTTATTGTAATTTTTTTCTCGCTTTGCCCTATTTATTGGTCTTGAAAAAAGTGGAGGATGATTGTTTGGGAAGGTTATCCTATTTCCTCTAGATTTAAAGTTAGTAGATTACCTATTTCATTTTTTTTTATGTTTTTCTCTCTCTCGTATTTTTTGCATCATATTGAAGCATTCCTTGAAACTGCAAAATGGATTGTAGGAATTAAAAGATTAACCTCCAAGTGAAACTTCATATATAGGGGAATATCTGACTATTTTGCTAGCAATACAGAATAAAAAACAATTGGTTGCGACCAGATTATCTTTGCATTTTATCCCTTGGTGAGTGTTTATTTGTAAAACAAGACATATTGTACTGATGTTGGAATCTTATTGATTTTGTGTAAGTATGACTAAATATAATGTATATTGATGATATCTTGGCGATGAATACTCTTTCTCAGCTCTTTTTGATGAATCTCCTCTTGTTCCCATCATGATTCTGTTGTTTGGTGATTTCTCAAATCATTTTCTTGGTTTTGTTCTTGCTCTAGCTTTTATTTGTTTAAGCTATCATGGGACATCCTTTTTGGTTTTAACCCTTTTGATCATTTTTTCCTCATGGTAGATGGCTTCCAAAGCACATAGAAATAAGGTAATTTTTTCCTGACAAAGAAGAAAATGGTTATGACTTAAGATATGCATATTAATAATTGTACTTCTTGCTGCAATTTAATTTGTTTTATTGAAGCGTATATAAGGTTCCTAAGCAAGACACAGAGAGCATCATCCAGAAAGCTAATTCTTTTGACTTTTGAATCTTTGAATACCTGTGCATCATGGCTATGGTAAAAACTTGGTTCTAAATTTCTTTTTTGCTTTTCAAAATAGAAGTAAGAAAATTGTGCCCAAGATAAAGGTGCAACGGTTTATGTATACGCGGTCTACTATGAGAGATAGGTAGCCAGCTATTTCACACTTTTGGATAGCATTTTATAACTCAAGTAAGTGAAATTAAATTCTTGGCTTCTTGTTTTCTTAGTTTTGTATCAATAAGTTTGATTATGCCTACATAAGTTTGATTATGCCCACAATGTGCTGCTTGCTTTAGTAAGATGTTTGGTGTGCTATGTAAATAAGTTTCTTAATCATTGACTTTAAAAATTTGGCTACTAAGATGAGCACAAAAATTAGGACGAGAAAATTCCTATGGTAGATTTAATATAAATTGGGAACTTAAGTGGCGTGCCACTTTTGCTGTTTCATTGGAGCACAAGGACTTGACAATTTAGGAAGTTGTTTAACTAATTAAATGGCTGAAATGGTTTAAAAAATGTCTTTTTCAAAAAGGTGAAACATATTTAAATTGTAGCACTAAAGAAGTTGTCATTTTCTTTTTATTGATTTTTTTATACAGTATGTATTATACAAAAAAATTTTTTGTCTTTCTTCTTTTCTCAAATTCGATTAAGAACTTACATACAACTCATAAGTAATGACAAAAAGATGCAGAATATTGGCCGACTAATATCTTGTCCTTATTTGAGGGCACAAGTGGGAATGCAACATTTGGTTTAAATCCATTTGACAAGTGTGCAGTTTCAAACCTTTAAACATGAGATGCACAATTTTTATACTTAGTCTAACTCAGCCAAATAAATAGTTGTGTATCTTCTTGGTGACTTTTAAGTGTAGAGATGTTTTATTACATTTGATGAAACAAGAGTATGAAGCCTTCTTGGTGAGTTCTTACTTTATGTTAGTTAAATAGTCAAAATTAGTTCAAAAAATATTATTGCAAGTTTTCTATTCTACAAGTTCCTATATTCTTTTCTTGATGTCTCTACCTTGTATGAATTCCAAAGAAATCGAACTTGTTTCGTCTTTTGGTGATTTTAATTCCAAAATTCAAAAACAGTTCTGAATAAGTTTCAATTGTTGTAGGAAAACAAGATTAAAGTGATAAAATTTGTTGGGTCGGTGGATGAATATTTTGGCCTCAAATGCCATTTTGAAAGGTATTAATACCTTTCTTTGCTGTTATCATGCGCCCAAAAATATTTCCATTATATATCTATTTCATTTGCTTTATCATATCTCATTTGCTATGTCAATAAGGTTCTAAACTTGAGATAATGACTTGTTTATCTTATCACAGACTGGAAGCATATGCAGCTCTCCACTCCCAATTGTGTTTGAGTCTTGTATCTCTTACTATTTACATTAAAAAAAGGAGTCTTCATGGGTGTTAGTAGTTGAGAGAAAAAGGGCATTTCATAGCTTTTTTGTATTTTTATAATTTATACCTTTTGGAACATTAAGCATATTGTACTGATACTGCTTTCTAATGGGAAAATCTGGTGGAGAAAGAAATCCAACAAGTCCTGTAACTTACAATTATACTATTCGTTTTCTTTCTAGATGAGAGTCATTTTCTTAAGTCTGCTAACATGGATGCACTTCACGGTTATAGTATCATCGGAAATTACTTTTGCTAATTGCTTTAGAAACTTTTGAATGGATAAATACGATACAGCTTTATTTAATTTTGAATGGATGAATACAATATTTATGATTTAGCTTAATATAATTTGCAACCATTATGTACTTTGTATAACTGGAAAAACCAAAATAATTGGGTAAACTTGAAATTTAATTATGTATGATGCATAACTGGGCAAACATGAAAATTTTCACCGCGCATCGCGCGGTGTTCTCCTCCTAGTTGACTTATCAGCCACATTCCAAATTCGCTGAGGACAGCGATTTTGTTTGTCGCTGACTGCAGACGGTATACTTCCAAGAGAACATGCTTACGTTTCTAGAGTAGAAGAGTACAAATCATAGAGAGAACAAAATTTGTGTTCGAGACTTATTAACGAAATAATGTGCGAGGAATTTCACTATACAAAAGTGATTTTTAAATTAGTGTTAGGATTGTACAGCGAACAGAATTTTTGGTCGCATTTTTATGTATGAAGTTGTACGAAATTATGGAAAGTTATAAACCATAGAGCAGGCTTATTTATAGCATGATACTTTCATTTAATAATGTAAAAAAATAAAAAATATGACAATGCAATACTCGCTATTCTCAACCTGAAAGAAGAGATGATTTGAATTTCCTAGAACTTGTTTTTTTTTTTTTTTTAAGTTTAGGGGAGACTCCAAGATTTTCAAGTGGAATGATAAAGAATTTCAACTTTCATTTCAAAAATAATTAGCAATAAGTGGAGTGACACAAAATCTTATTAATGTGGTTAGAAATCTTCAGAATATCAATGTGGGACATTTAGTCACTTAATCATTGTCTCAAATCCTCTGTTTTCCAAATAAGGTGATTAAATTGACAAAGATTTGCAATATCAGACTTTGAAATTCATTTTTAGAAACAAAACTTCCTTCTCTTTAGAAAAACTAAATTCTATCTTCATTTTTTTCTAGAAAAACTCTTTAGTCAAAACTTCCTCCAACTCTTCTATGGGAGAGGGATAAGATTTTTCTAATATTTTCCCATTGAGTCCTCTCTCTAGTTTTTTTTCATTTGTGTGAATAAAGTCTTTTCTAGAATTTTCTAATAAGAGTATCTTCTTTCCTAGAGTTGTCTAATACAAGTTTTCTTTTCTCTTAGATTTTTTTTTTAGAGAGAGTTTTTTTCTCTCCTAAAAATTCCTAGTGAGGGGTTCTTAGGAAGATTTTTCAATTTTCTTTTATTAGATATGAGATTTTCAGACATTGATTATCAGATATAGAATTTCTTGGATCTATTAGGCAGATCTCACCATGTATTTGAACTTGAAACAATTAATTAGTAGATCTAGTCATTGGAACTATACACAGATGTTCGTGGAACTACAATTAATTTATGCCATTTTTAAAAATATTTTTTGGAACTTTTCAGTGTAATTTTTATCTGTTCATCAAATATATGGTATCCATTTTTCATATATGTTCTTTGATATCTGTATATGTTTGATGTTGTAAATTGTGCTATTAGTGCAGATTTTAATAAAATTATGATGTTTTGTGAAAAAAAAAAAGAATTTGAAATTCATTTAATTTAATTCTTATTACTTAATCCTTCTTCAAATCCAAATCCATAAATGAAAATTAATTTTGATCGTTCTAATTGACTTCACTATAAAGCTAAGAATCAAGGAATATTAATATTTCATGCAAACATTCTGAAATTTTCATAGTTGAACCCAAAAGTATTAAACTAACATGTTGGCCACAAATCCATGGAAATAATAACTATTACCCCCTCCATTGCATTTTGATAGTCTTGTTTTCTTTTTCATCCATCCCAAATTATAATTTACTTTCCAATTGAAGAATATAGATAACTTTTAATATCTCTAAAATGCCCTTATTTAATTTTTTTATTAGTGAATATAACCTATCTTATTCATTAATTACTTTGATTCATACCTTAAAAAACTTTTATCAATATTATTGTTACAATTAATGCAAAGATATAATAGTTAGTTATATTACTAATATTAATACAAGAGTATTTTAAAAAAATAGTATATTAGATTTAACTCTTCTAATAAAGTTAACTAATTTTTTAAAAACATATAAAAAAATAAAACTATTAAAGTGGGATAGAAGGAGTATTAAATTTAGATGTTGGGCACATATCCATGGACATAATAACTATTACCACTACATTATGCAGCATCACAACATCTACATCAACGAGGACACACATATTACAACCACATGCCTGCAGGTAGGAATGTAATCGAGTCAAGTCGAATTCAAGTATCATGGTACTCGAGATCGATTTGACACTAGGAAGGCTCTACTTGATCTCGATCTCGAGGTCGAGCTCTAGTCAAGCTTGAATAATTGTTCGAATACTCGAGATCGATTCGACAATACTCAATTTTCTTACCAGTATGATCAAGCTCAAGTCAAGTACTCGAGCTCAAGATCCTTGTCTTGGTCTAGAAATACTCAATTTTATTTTTTTACCTATCAAATTATTTTTTTCCATGTAAAATGACTATATGCCCTATAAATATTTTAAATTCATAGCCAATATTATAGTAATTTATACAACTATCAAGCCTAAAAGAGTAAAAATGTAATAATTGAATATATAATTTTAATTAATTACTTGATACTCGATAAGCCTCGACGAGCCTTCGAACCTAAAAAATAATTGAATCGAATACACAATCGAGTCACTTGAACTCGACTCGCACTCGATCCAGCCACTGCAGGGCCCTTTCCTCTTCTTCAATCTTCAGTCTGTACCACCTAATCCAAGAAAGCCATGCAACCATCATTATCAGTGCCTCCATGCATTTATGGGAGGTTAACCAATTTGTCAAGTAATTCTGAAAATTGAAGTACACTGTATTAATACAGAGATAACATGAGCTTCAGCTACTTTCTTTTGACCTTATTTTTTTTTTTTTCAATTTTTGGGCAAACTTGTATAAAAGTACGGAAATGAGGCAGAAATGGTTGCAGTTGGCTACCATCCCTAAAGGTTAATGGCTATTATTTGACTCAAAAAAATAAGATTCAGATCACCTTTTATACATCAATTTTAACATCATACGTGTATCTCATAAAATTTTGTTTGGTATTTATAAATTGTTGAAAATGAGTTACATCCAAACAAACAAATGAAGTTATATGTTGTGTTTGAGCAAAAATTGATCCAAACAGTTTTTTTTTTTTTTTTGACAACCGTTTGACCCCTGGTCTGAAAATTTTTGTTGGTACCCTAAATGGTTAATACCTAGGCTCCCGAGAGTGACATTACCATCCAAAATAAAATCGGTGAGGCTATATAAGCCGGCTATAATTATACCTGGCAATTGGGTGGGTTTGGCGGGTTTTGGGCGGGTTAATATTGGGTTTTCATTTAAATGGGTTATACCCAATTCGCCCAACTTAAATTTGGGTTAATTTTGGATTGAGTCATATTGGGCCATTACAAAACCATGACCCAAATATGACCCAATATATTAATTTAATAGATTTTGATACATAAACTCTTTCAAATACATTTTCACATATAACAAAAAAATTTCATACACATAAACACATTGTTATATAGATAAACATATTTTCACACACTAAAACACTCACGATACAAACACACACTCACTTCTTAAATTCATTTGAAATACATTAATGTGTTTGGATAGTAAATTATTTGATATAATTTTGTGAAAAAAATACTGTAACATTTTTTTGATGTGATGTATGTGACATAGAAAGGTGATTGAAAAATGTACAGATGATACAAGCAAATCAGTGTGTGTAAATAAGGTGTAAATAATATGCATTTCAAACACACTATTTTTACGCATACAAACACACTAAAATACATCCTAATATACTTTTACAAATACACGCACATACTAACTGTTTAAACTCTAAAAAGATTAGTGAAATTGTTAGAAATCTCATCTCAGGAGAGGTTTCTGGAATTACGCCATATAAAAACGATAGCAAATTGGACCAAAAGCAGTAGCATAGCCTGCTTCCATACATTGACCGCTTCCAAACTTTGAAAATTTGTTTCTTTTTTTCCCTTTTTTTTTAAGAATATACGGGACCAATTCCCCCGCAATGACAGTAGTACTTCGTAAAAACAGGAAACGAGTAGACATTAATTAATTATTTGGCTACGAAATACTAGATTTAGCAACTAACAAACAAATAATAAGAAACTAGATTTAAATTCTACAGGTCGACAACTTCCTAATGACCTTCATTGAGCAAAAAAATTAATTTGTTTATTTTTTTTTTAACTTAAGTTGGATAATGGGTGCTCAACGCAAATACCCAAACCGCTCAAGATATATGTGGGCTTTTATTACCCAACCCAAATTTGACCCAACACCCAATTTACTCAACCCAATCTCTCAATTTAGTGGGTGGATTGGGTGGGTTATCGGGTTTTGGGCATAATTACCAGCTCTAGCTATAATGATTAAACGCAGCGGGTCAGGTGAATCAACGGGATCCGATTGGTACGTTATAATCAGGTAGAATCAACTAATACAATTGCATACTACAGCCTACAGCATGGTTGCCTGAGTCCATGGGATATATTAAGGGTTTTGGTAATAGGCAATAAGGGTATTCGATCTACATCACCTCTGCCCGAGCGGATCCGGGCACAAGTCGAGTTTTGTTCCATTCAAATTGATTTATGTAATTCTTACGATTACGCTGTAAACGTACAATTTAGGTGTAAACTTGAATTTGTATAAATTGCAAATTTAAATTTATACCAAATGTAATAAGAATTAAGTTAATTGATTTGAACAGGATACGACTCAACTTGTTAGGTCTCGAATCGTATATGAAGGACATAAGATTAGGTTGATAAAATTTTAGTGTCAAATTATATAAATAATTACCAAACAAGCTCAAAATATAACGTATGAGCTTGAAATTATTTTC